AACCAGGCTCCACTTCAGGGTGCAGCACAGCATTTCCTGTGACATCAACAAAGCAAGAGGAATGAACAAATTCCTGGGAGTATCTTTGGTCACTCTATGGTTTCAAGTGGCCTGTGAGTTGAGGCTTGTGGTGATAGGATTGAGGAGACTTGAGTTCAGAGGTCACTTGGCTGAGACGTGTTCATTTGGATATGCAATTTGAAAACATATCCACTAACTCTTGTTCTCTGGTCTATGTTTCTATGCAGGGGGTAATAGCCAATGGGGAGAAGAGAATCTTCAGGCTCTGAGCATCCAGGAGGGTGAAAACGTCACTATGAACTGCAATTACAAGACTTATACAACTGTTGTACAGTGGTACAGACAGGATTCAGGCGGAAGCCCTGCCCTGCTAATGTTAATACGTGCAAATGAGAAAGAGAAGCACAGTGGAAGACTAAGAACTACTCTTGACGCTTCCAGCCAGAGCAGCTCCCTGTCCATCACTGCTGTTCTAACTACAGACACTGCCGTATACTTCTGTGCTACAGACGCACAGTGTGCAGCAGACATCTGCAGCCCCGACACAAACCCTAAGAGCTGCTTCCTAGACCACAACAGTGCATGAAATACTGATAATGTCACTCCATAATGAGTGTGTCTGCTGGTAACTGGAAACAGAACCTCTTTAATTGTGACATTTCTGTTTGTCTGTTTTTAGTTCCTTAAGCTGGGGCAGAGAGCAGCAGGATGCTGAAATAGCAGACTTTGTTCTGCATGTGTCCTCAAGCTCACCATTAGTGCGACCTCTCCAATTTCTCCAAGTAAAATCACAACTATTGAACCTTACGAGCCTTCAGGGTTAGGTTTTTAATAATCACGGTATCTTTGTGCAGGATGAGAGAAGGTCCCATCTGTCCCTTGTGCAGCCTTGGGGCCTAGTTGGCTCCTTGAGAGGCCAAAATCATTCTTACATCTCTCCAGTTCCAGGACAGTGAGCATGTATCAGACATTAGACTAAGAAGCCCTCCAAGCACTTTCCCTAAGCCTCTCTTTTTACAGCTGGGGCTTGCAGCCACTGCATAGTAGGGAGGCAAAGATTTGAATCTCAAAGGCAAAGAAACAAATATCTAAATCTGGTTCTGCCTTTAAGAGTTCTGTGGTTTTTCAGGCCCTGATTTACACACTAGGAAAATGAAAAATTATACAAAGTCAGTTCCCCATCCAAGCAGGGAAGCATGCTCCCTGCTGTCACATTCTATACTATATAGAAGCAAGTATACTGAAATTGCTATGGGGAGGGGACATGTAAGAAGAACAAGTGCCTTTAATAGTAAGAGATGAAGTCAGTTTGGATACATATGAACTAGAATAGCAGCACAACCTTCATGAGGAAAGAGCCTGGGCTGGGAAGGAGCAAGTAGGATCCAGGTGAATGGAATTCTCTGTGTGTGGTGACAAGGTCAGCCATCCATCCTTGCCTAGACCACTCTTTAAGAGCCAATTTATTTCTCATCTGATAAGAGTACCCATTCATCACATTTACATACAACCCTGGAGCTCTTCCAAGAGGTGGCACCCCAAACAGAGCTCAGCCTTCCCGTATCAATCAATATTCAAGAAGAACTAAAACACACTCTTGGAAGACCAATCTGATGGAAGCAAATTCTCAATTGAGGCTATCTCTTTCTGGGTGATACTAGTTTTTGTTAAGTTAAAAAAATAGCTAAAGCATATAATATTTTCCTATTACATTTATTTTAATAGTATATTAATTTAGGTGCTATTAAGGCTCTGTGAGATGTTCCCTCACATGCATACAGCATCCACTGATCAAACCTCCTCCCCCTTCTTTACGCAGACCTCCCAAGCCCTCTATGCTTTCGGGTGAACACAGGATACTTATGTGGCTAGTATTTATTTACTTACTTACTTATTTTTTAGTTTAGTTTAGTTTAGTTTAGTTTTTTCTTCTTTTTTTTTTTTTGCAGGTTGGCACAGGGGGAGGAGTGTGTGTCTGGCTTTTTTCACTTCATGTCCTCCAGGTCCATCAGTTTTCCTGAAAATGACAGTTCTATTCTACCTTTCCTGAGTAGTATTCTTCTTTGTTATCCTACACTTCTAATCTAAACTGCTATGACTAGAAGCACATAAGCATGTGTATATAACTATGGTATGCCAATTTCATCTTCCCTAAGTTTATTTCCAAAAGGAAAAGAAGCACTAGCTTTGCCTTTGATTTTCTGAAGCATTTCACAAAGCTCCCTGCAGTGGCTCTCTTGATTAACGCCCTCCTCCAGTCAGCATTCCTGAATCCTATTCCCATACACCCTCATCAGCACTCATTGACACAGTGAGTGATCTGGTGACTAATCTGGGTTTGTTTTGCATTCCACCAATGACCAGCGACACTGAGCATTCCTCTTCTGTTTCTTGGCTGTTTGTGTTCCATTCAGATCTTTGTCTAATATTAAATGTGTAACTTCCTTTTTCATTGTTTTCAAATCAATCTTGTGACAGATGAATAGTTGGAAAATAATTTCTCCTATTCTTTAGGTTGTCTCTTCACTGTACAGATTCTTTGATTTCTATATAAAACCTTGTTAATTTGATATAATCCATTCCCTCATTTTTTACATAAAATCATATTTCTAATTACTTGGATGACTAGCTTAAAACAGAACATCCTCCTTGATTTGGGGCTTCTATTTTCTAATTTCAGCAAACTAAGGACAAGTGGGATGGTAACATTCCACAAATCTACACATCATAGATGTGTCTGTTGGTAAAGTTCATAACAGCATGAGTACAGCTTTGGTTATTACTACAGAAGGGCAAACTCTAAGGAATTTGCATTAACAATGTCATGATTTTCTTCCCATTGAAAGATTTTCATTATTTATATGTATATACTTGAAATCCAATAGACAAACAATAGTATTATAGGCACAATATATACCTTCCTGAGATGACATATTGTGGTTCTTCTAAATAGTAAAATTGTGTGCTGAATGTTTACTAAAGAATTTTTGTCATTTTAAAAATTGCAACAAGAAAAATCAGAAAAAAAATCATGAAACAGTTAACAGGTAAAACAAGTGACAAATGAAAGTATCTAATCAAGAGATACAACCTGGGCTCCAGAGAAACAGTGACCATACATTAGGAGATCTCAGGACATCCTTTTCATTTTCACAGTAAGCTCTAAGATGTTTACATTATCAAGAGAGGCAGGATAGACATTACATTCAAGGACTGGGGAAACATAGGGAGCCCTCTTGCCCTGACATGTCAAAAGGATGACAAAGCTAATACCCACTTTTGCAGCCTGAAATACCCTGGTAAACTCTGCAGAAAGCTTTTGGTGTAATATTCTTGTATTCCCATCTAGACCACAATGTTACCCTAGCTACAACTTAATGATCCAGGATAAATTACCACTTTCAGAGAGAAAACCATGCTGCAGTACAGACAGGAACCACAAGGGGGAGGTACCTGTCTATGCTGTTGGTAAATACAAATTTAATCAGTGTCTCTAAACACATCTCCCTTCCCCCATTGACTCTAAACATAGCTCCCAGGCTGAGGGAAGTGTTTGTCTTGCTTAATATATGAGACAGATTTTGTTTTTTTTTTTTTAAAAAAAAACCTTGTAAATGATTTGATGTCAGTCATGTTTCTCTACAAGAGCCTCCATTACTGCAAAAAGATGCATATTTGATGAGGGGCTGTGTGTGTGTATGTGTGTGTTATATGTATATGCATATGTATATTAAAATTATGCTGGTTTGTCTAACATAAGAGCCATAGACTAACTTCAAACCCAATAATATGACTCTCAGCTGTTACTCTTGCTGTGAGTTACCTCACAGGGGTAGAAGATAAGTCCCTATTGCAGAGGACATCACACACTTTGGACACAGGACGCCAAAGATTCAAATAGATCTAATGTGAAGATCTTATTCTGGCAGTCTACCATTCATGGTACAAGAATGTGCTATGTAAGCTGCCAAGAGAGTGAAGCAACCAACAGATTTATCCAACTATGACACCTGTGAAGCACAGGCAACAGCATGATAAGCTATCCCTATCTTGCAATAGTGATATTCAAATTGTCCTTGTAACCAAGGATTTTCAATGGGACTTAAGATCTGCTCAACAGGGAGGAAATAGTGCCTGATACTAGAAACTTAGTCAACTACTTGGAGCTAGTGAGGTCACAGATCTTAGGGGAGAATATAATACTTCCACTTTACTAGAGTGGAACGGTTTTTAATATACCATTCTACAGACAGAGACACCAGAAAAGAGAACAGGGGAAATGGCTGGTGTGCTGATCTTATGAGGAATGGAGATTTTAAGAGTCCTTGTTAGAAAGCCATGCCATCTTCTTATTCAATAAAAATTTTGTGAATTTATTTTTGTTCATTCTTGTAAGTATGAAACACACATATACATGTAGATAGACAGACAGGTGCATGCATATGTGTGTGCATGTCTGTGTTTTCCTTTTGTTATTTGACATGACACATATGACAGATTTTTGTTACTCAGGAGACATATAAAATATTTCATTAAGAATAACCTATTTCTCATATGAAATTTGCCAAATTCCTTAATTAGAATTTTAGGAAGAAAGACGGAGATGAAGTTTTGCATTCTTGTTAAATTGTCAACATTTTGTTTTCCTCTAGGGGAAAAAAAGATGAATTTATAAGACCAGAAGCAACATGGCTAGGTCATCCACATATTACCATATTTCATAATAAATTTCATGTCCTGCTTTAGCTATCTGAATGATTTGAAAATTAGTCCATCTTCTTATGATGGTTTCCAGACCATTATAATAAGATCAACAGGTCTTCAAGACAGTCTAGCGTTCTCCCACATCCATACAGGAAGTTATGACAGGGCATAATTAAGCCTGCCCCATAACTGTCAGCTGCATTTCCTGTAGGGGTGGCTGCACCACACAGGCCAGTAACTTTTCTTGTTCCTTTTAAGCACAAAATATAGATTAAGATCTGAGTTGAGAGAGAACACTATAGAATAGAAAATTTCACTCAAGACAAGAGCTAACAATATGCTGATTCTAAGCCTGCTGGGAGCAGCCTTCAGCTCCATTTGCTTTGGTAAGGATGTTCCCCAGCATAGGATCAGGCCCTTATTCCTGAAGGTCATTGCTCTTTGCTGAGGCTCAGAAGGGAGACATCATTGGTCTGGCTCACAAGCTACTTGATCCTTTAGGCTCCCATTGTTATAGTTAAAAAGACTGATATCTCTGTGCTTTTTCCACCAGCAACGAGCATGGCCCAGAAGGTAACGCAGACGCAGACTTCAATTTCTGCGATGGAGAAGAAGAATGTGACAATGGGCTGTGTGTATGAAACCCGGGAAAGTTCCTATTACTTATTCTGGTACAAGCAAACAGCAAGTGGGGAAATGGTTTTCCTTATTCGTCAGGATTCTTACCAAAAGGAAAATGCAACAGAGGGCCGTTACTCTCTGAACTTCCAGAAGTCAGAAAGCTCTATCGGACTCACCATCACAGCCACACGGATTGAAGACTCAGCAGTATATTTCTGTGCTATGAGTGAAAGCACAGTGGCTGAGGCATCTACGAGAGCCCCACAAAAACCTCAACCAGAGACAGAGGTTCTGAGAATAGACTCCACAGACAGGAAGAGGCAGGGGCTGTGGTAGCACAGGAGAGGGTTTGGCAGTAAACCTCAGTACAATTCATGTGGGACGTCCATTTTAAACAAGTTACCTGAGGTGTACATGTTCAGGGCCAGCACAAGTCTGCACTAGGTCCTCTGCATATATATCATGGCTTCCAGTTGAGTGTTTTTGTGGGATTCCTGACTGTTTCACTTTACACCCAAGTCCTAACTGATTCAGGCTGCTAGCATGTTAAAGGTGGACAGGCCAATGCAGAAGACATGACAGAGCACATCATGCAGGGTACAGGCCATAGATCCATTATCACAGTCTGCAGGACACCTGAGGGTTATTCCGACTTCTATAAATAAGGTGATTGCTAGTGGCCATCAGGCTACAGACGCTGCTATAGTCCAGAGATTTTCCTGAAATTATTCACCATCCACCCCACATCTCAGAGCTCCTGATCGTGCTCATCATAGCTCCACTTTGTTGCTATGGAGTCCTCTGGCTAGAACTTTTCGTTAGGCCTATGTTGCACTATTAAGGAAAGTAAAACCAGCTTTCTCTTAAAACTGTTTCCCCTCCTCCAACTGTCTAGGGTCTCAAATCTTTGCTTACTGGCTTTCTATTCTGCATCCAGTGTACTGGTTTATGTTCTATTTTGAAAACATATACCTAATGAAGGTAGTTATTAGGCAGGTACTACATTTGATACAAAGCATTTCTAATCCTTACTCATTAGCTTCTTCCTTGCCTGCTTGTATCCTCTGCCTTTGTTTTGCCAGAGTTGCACCTGCCCTCAGCTCACATGCTTTGCTCTGCTTGCCTTTATTATCATTTTGTTCCAGACAAAAATACACAGGCTTAGATGTTCCCTTACATCAAATGACATGATAGTACATAGGATACCTTGAAAGACAGGAAGCATGAGCTCAGTGAGCGAAGTGCCTATGAGCAAATGTGAGTTCCTTCCTTCAATCCCCAGCATCACTTCAAAATAAAGCTAGCCAGTACAAACGGTCAGTCCTAAAAGCTTATACATGCAAGCAACACTCAATGAACTCAGCAGGTTGTATTTATGTATTTATTCCCACATATTATATATAAATATACAACATACGTATAATGTGTGTGTATGTGCACATGCATGTGGTGTGCAAGTGTGTACCAATAATAGTTTTAAAAAGAGGCTGTGAATTTGACAGGGAGTAGAAGAATACAAAGTGAGTGGAGAGAGAAGAGGGAGAAAGAAACAGTACAATGTTATCTTAGTTAAAACTAAAATTTTGAAAATAAAGCTAGGACTAGTAGCAAGTGCTTACAATATGAACTCTAGAGAAGAAGGTCCCTGGCACTCACTGACCAGAGAGCACAGCTGAATCAGTGAGCTCCAGCATCATGGGCTTCAGCATCAGTGAGGCTCATCTCAAAAGATGGTGGGGATTTGTTGAAAACAAATCTAATTTTCTCTGGCCTCCACACACTTGTACCCATGTTTGTGTGCACATACATGTTCATGCTCATAAAACACACACATACACTGAGAGAGAGAGAGAGAGAGAGAGAGAGAGAAAGAGAGAGAGAGAGAGAGAACCCTTTGCAAAGATTTCAGTGATGTAGTTGTTTCTCATATTTCCAGAACACTGGAGAGATACCCTATGTCTATCACATTAGCCGACCCAGGGAATATGATCTTGGAGTCCTGGATGAGTGAATCTGTGTAGCTCATGGAAGTACAAAGCTAACTGTTGGTAGCAGAGGCTCCAGATACACAAAGAAAGAAGGTATCAAAAACAAAAACAAAAACAAAAATAAATAAACAGCTCTGGTAGACATCAAACACTTGTGCAAAATAGACTCAGCACTAGCAGAAACCAGAAAAAAGACAGCAGTCACCAAGACAGCCGCCTCCCCTCATATCACCTACTTTCTCCAATTTTTGAGGCACAAAAATGTTGGACAAAAACATCCTCTTTTTTCTTTCTTTAAAACTAAGTATTTAGCTGTTTATTTACTTAATTGCACTTAACACACGTTTTTAAATTTGTTATCCTCCTTTATATATTCCTCCAATTTTGTTCACATTATCTTCTTTCCTTTTTACTGTCACTTGTGTTTATTTTTCTATTATGCTTTTAGTAGTACTTTTATCATTTTCACTTCCCTTTTTGCATTTATTTAATTTCATTTGTAACTTTTAACTTTCATTTTAATTTCAATTTAATTTTAAATTACTGTGAATTTTTATTTTATTCCTTTTGCTTTTGTTGTAGTCTAATATATCACTCTTTTTTCCCTATAACATTGCCTCCCTTCACTTTTTTATTTCTCTAAATTCATTTAATCTCATTTCTACTCTAGTTCTGCCCTTCCCCCACCTCAAGGTTAGGTTGTTCAATACAAACTGTCAGAGGTATCCAAAACATTATATGGGCAAATAACATCACAGAAATAAGAAATATGAAAACTATAAATTTATACCCCAAAGCGCATAACACTCTAACTCCTAAATTTAAAGATGAATTCAGCCGGGCGGTGGTGGTGCACACCTTTAATCCCAGCACTTGGGAGGCAGAGGCAGGCGGATTTCTGAGTTCGAGGCCAGCCTGGTCTACAGAGTGAGTTCCAGGACAGCCTGGGCTACACAGAGAAACCCTGTCTCGAAAAAAAAAAAAGATGAACTCAACACAGGGCATAGAAAGAAAGTCAATTGCAGAGGGAAGGGAGTCAGTGTGAGAAAAACAGTTATATGAATGAAAAAAGAAGCAACGTGGAAAAAAATCCGTGTTGCAATCAATGGACCCACAGTCATACGAGTATGAACAGCATTGATTGGAATTAATGGGATACAAAACAAAGGGCATGAAGTTAGGAAGGAAACATCGAGAGGATACAAGAGTCAGTATACAGATACCAGAAGCCTTCTGTCTGCAAGTAATAACAAACTTGGCATACAAGAAATCAAGAAAAACTATTTGACTCTGGCTTTAAGAATGCATAAACAAGGAGGTGGAAGATCTCACAAAGAATACTTTATGGAGAAAGAAATTGCAAAATGCACTAGAAGGTTGTCTAAAGTTAAAGTTTCTATTGCTGAGATAAAACACTTTGACCAAAAGCAATGTGGGAATGAAATGGTTTATGTTTCATCATCTCCAAAAATCAAGGCAGAAATATGGAGGCAACAACAGATTCAGAGGCTGTAGATGATTTCTGCTTACTGACTTGCTCCACAAGATATGCTCAGCCTGCTTTCTTATTCCACCCAGGACCACCTGACTAATCTGGGCCCTCCCACACCAATCTCCAAACAAGCAAATGGCCTAAAGACTCATCTACAGACAAAACTATAGAGATATTTTCTCAAGTAAGATTTTTTCTTCTTCTCTGATGGCACTGCCTTACGTCAAGTGGAATAGAACTTAGCCAGCACAATTGACTCTTTATCAACTTGACACTCAAATTCATCACCTATTAAGGAATTACCTTTCCTTTCTTATTTTCCCCAGATGTCATGTTAATATTAATATGATGATACACAATATTCCAATTTTTTTAAAGTCCCGCAGTTTTTATAAATGTTAAGACTAAAAATTAAGACTCTCCATTCCAACTTTTCAAAGCCCCACAGTTTGAATCTCTCTAAAATATCCAAAATCTCTTTAAACAATGCAAAGCCCCTAAAATATCCAACGTCTCTCTAAAGTTTCAAAGGTTCTCTAAAATTCCAAAGTCCCCTTAAAAGCTCTAAGTCTCTCAATATGACCTCCTGTAAAATCAAAGTAAGTTGAAAACTTTCTTACTTCAAGAAAGCCAAATCAAAATAAAACTCCAGCTGTGTAAATAACTCAGTGTCTAACTCAGTGTCAGAGCACTTCTCTGGCTCTGCCATTCACAATATATGCAGCTTGTCTGTTTGGCACAGGCTGGCTCCACTGTTACTGACTTTGTTGGTCATCTCACAGTACTGGCATTTCTAAAATGCTGAGTTCTCTGTGGGCTGCACCTTCACCAAAAGGTTCCCCTGTGCTCCTTCAGAGACTTGGACACTACCACGGGTGCAAATTCTCTCCGTTATGTTTTCAATCCTGGGTCCTTCTATTGTAGCTGAGGCTGCACATTTGCCAATGACCTTTCAAGTCTCTCTCTCTTCAGGGACTCCAACCCTGCGTACAGTGCCAAGTCTCAGCTGCTCTCTATGATCCTTTCTTGCCTTCAGAACCAGTACTTCTTGAGTGACTCTAACACATTACTGAGTTTAGCTGCCAATATGAGATGCATCCTTGGGCCTCTATTGGATTACAGCTATGTGCTAACCCTGAAGAAATACTCCCAAATTTACAGTCCTCACTGTTACTGGGCTCTTTTTAATTATAACTGATTTCTCAACTCCAGCTAATCAACATCAATTGTTCCAGCAAAGCAAAGGTTTCACTTTAGTGGTTCTTAATTAAAAATATCACATAAATGGCTTCGATAAAGTCTATGAGAGATAAACACTCCTCTGAAACTTTACAAGCCAGTTCTCCACCATTGGCATTGCTTTAAACATTCTTATCTCTCAAACTTTCATAGACTAGCCAATTGAACTCTGAGCATTTGGAGGCTTTTCCAGCCCACAATACTACAATCTTCTCTAAAAATATGGTCATATTTGTTGAAGATTTCTACTTTAGTTAGGGCTTTTATTGCTGTGATAAAAAAAAAAAACAGTGACCAAAAGAAATTTAAGAGGAAAGTATTTATTCATCTTATAGTTTGTAGTTAATCATACATGGAAGTCAGGAGAGGAACCTGGAGGAAGAAAGTACTCAAGCTTTGGGGAAGTGCTGTCTGCTTGCTTGCTCCCAGTGGCTTGCCCATTCTTGCTTTCTTATTCCATCCAGGACCACCTGTCATGGGTGGCACTGTGTATGATGAGCTGACCAT